TTGTTGGGTTAGTGCGCATGGCTGCCAGGCCCCCCCTCTGAAGGAGGAAGCGAAAGAAGCGCGGAACAGTAGTATGAAGTGAGTCTGGCACGTAGGTAGTTGAGATTTGGAGTCACTTGTACGTTCTAATTTAATGGTAATAAATAGTAAATGTGTAACTGTGCTTAATTCATTGGGTTGTTTGAGACAAGAGAAAAAGGTAGTGGGGGTCATTGTAAAAACAAAATACAGTCCACTCCCGAAGGCAACCCACAATGGTGAAACAGCAATTAAACGAAATAGGGGAAGAGCTTCACGTAGAGAAAATAAACTTCGATACCTTTGACCCAAAAGATCTATTGTAAAATGCTGTTTACTTCTTTTCATTTAGAAATAAATAAACAAAAATGTTTTTTAAATTATTTTATATTAATTTTTGTTCTAAATATGAATGTGTATATTGAACTACAGTCGTTACTTAGTTTTAGTTTATGATTATTCATAGTAAACACAAAATTAAAAATCTAAATAACGATAGGTACACCAAAGTATAATCTTATTGATTTTGAAATAATTTAAATAAATTAGGTACAGTTTTGCTTAAACAGCACAGTTTGTATAGAACAATTTTTATTCTTGGCTGGTTTTTCCCGAGCATTATTATGCACAGTTTATATAAAATTACTTATTTATTATTTATGACTGGTTTTTTCAAGAGTATTATTATGCAGATATTATTTTGACTTATTGGAGTGAGAGTAGGTAAATTGTATGTTTTTCATTTCAAAACTATAAGCTACATTTGTATCCTATTAAAGAAGATGTCTGTCTAAAAACAATAGTCCGCGGGCCCAGACCCTTTTTTTTTATTAATAACAAGCTGACTTTTGGGGAACAGCTTCGTTGTGACGAGTCGACCAACTTTTCTCTCTACGAAAATTCTCGAAAACGGTAACTATTAAAGCGCGGGGGCGTCAAATATGTCGATTTGGTGAATGATCAATATTTATTACGAACAAGTAGTTTATTACTTAAATCGCATGATAATTGTATGAAAAACTCGAAAAAACTTTTGTCCTACACGTTCGATGGTTTTTCCGAAGCGTCCCCCACTCTTAACATGTCAAAATAATATGATCTTAGAAGTTATTAATAACCATCTAATTTTTCACCTGCTTGGTAATTATTATTATAATTCAGTGACATTTTTGTCCTACACGTAAAATCCTAGTCCTCCACTGGGAAAGTGTCATTTCCGCGGGTACAATTTTCTTATTAATAACAACCTAATTTTCGATTTTTTCTTCTGAGAACAATGTTTGAAACAAAATTTTACCACTGTCCTGCAAAAAAAGTGGAAGCTAGTGATGAAAATAGAAATACTGTTACAGTTAATTAATCAGAACACCAAAAGAAACCTTTTAATATTTTAAAAAAGAATGTACACTTTCAAGGGGCTTTTGTAAACCTTCTGAGGATGGGAACTACAGAACTGACAGCATCATGCGACATATTTCAAATTATTGAAGAGTATGACTGCCGCATGTATTCATTAAAAACAAAAAATGATGTCAACAAAGGCAGATACGAAATGTTTGAAAAAAGCTATAAATGCTAAATTGATAATGAAGAAGTATTAAAAAAAATAACAGGATATGATGCATCTAATTTGCCACCAACTAAGCAAGAATTACTGCAGCATATAAAAAGGACACGGTATATTGCCAGTATTTGGTGCAATACCCACATGAGGCGCCCAACAGAGAAAGTGCCCGAGAATGGGCAAGCCCGGTGGGCTTTAGTTGATGGCCATTACGAATTTTTCTAGATTGATGGTCCACAAAGTCCATCTTTTGAAGAACTAACGAGTTCTGAAGGTACCCACCCTATTAATTATTT